GTGTGTGTGTGTGTGTGTGTGTGTGTGTATATTAGTATGTTCATTCATGCAGGTTAAGTCCCTTTGTCATATCCTATTCTTTAAATGCATTCAGTCCTCTAAGGGAAATTCTTACCAGCTTGTCAGTAATTTGGTTGTTATAAATGTGTAATTAACACATTGCTTTTAAACGTGCACCATGTTATACATGTGTAATAAAGAATGTACATGTTATATTATACATAAGAAGGTGAAAAAAACGAATGATTCATGTTAATGGCATCACACTGCTGCTGTCTGGGAATAGAAGCACATCAATAACAGATCCTGATCCTCCAGACAGGGCAAACATAGTTCAGATGTCATACCGGACAGCAACGCTTTGCAGATGACTGCAGAGATCACCAGACAAAGTCTGATATATGGTCATCCATCCAAGACATATGGGTCTGTCCTTCTCCTGTATGGAATAGTTTTTGTGTTTGATAAATTGATATTTAAGATTTTCCTTGGACTGCAGTCAGACTGTTTTGTCTTTTGCAGTTCTTTGATGTGTTATAGTAGATAGAGGGATTGATGTATGGAAAAAGAAAGAAATAACTCTCCTTGTCTTCAGTGTGCGTCGGTTGTTACAAAGTAACTGAAGTGATGAATGTTCTGAGTTAGAATGTCCAACTTTGAGAACATTCTACAATCAGAACTTCAGTCGGTTGGTCTGATGACTTCTGGGAGATAATGGGCCGGTCTGATTGCAGGAAATGGGCAGCGAAGAAGAGCTATTTATAAAGATGTGATTACTCCAAGTCATTATGTTTGATTGAGCGATAAGGACTTTTTCTCAGGGATCCTCAGTCCTGGAGTAGATGAGAATTTGGAGTTGTTTTGGGAATGTTTTCGGCGTGTTATGAATCCGTTACAGGCATTCCAGCTCCAGAAGTCGTGGTGGAGTTCCAACATGTTTCAGAGACCAGAATAGAAGTTGTGTTGCTTGCGTGAGTGTGTGTGCTGCTCTCGTGCAGTCGGGCTGGAGAGATTTAATCCCATTGGTTATGGACACGCAGCGCTTGGCTGCAAAACACACATTGTCGTGGAGATATCAAGACCATGAGAGCTTTGTGTAATTTTGCGCATTTGTGTCCGATTCTTTTTTATGTTCGGTGATCAGAGTTCTCTTAAAGCTAACGTGACAGTGTAAAATCTTGGTTTGTGTTTGCATATGTTTCACGCTGTAGGATTAATTTATAATGAACACACACAAATGCCAGTGTTTGAGACTGAATAGCATGATACAGCAGAAGCAGGTATCATTTTAAAAGTAATATAGCGTAGTTTTTTAATGAAAATCTGTCAATGACGCACATGTGGAAATTAATTAGCAATCTGATGCGCATAGTTGCTGCCACATATGATAATGAGGTTATCAGACTGAATCCACCATTAAAGGATTGACCTTATCTGTCTGAGCAGATAGACAAGTCTGATATAAAAAATGGGCAATCAATCAGGCAGAAAAAGCTATAATGCTTAGACCAAAAACATGCATGCAAGTAAACAATACTAATAATTCAGGAAATATTCGCTCAAAATTCTGTCATAGTTTGCTTTACTGTCCTATTTTTCTAACCCTAGATTTTTTTTCTTTTTACAAACACAAAAGGAAATCTTAAATCATCATAAAATCATAAATCATAAAGCATCATAAAAGCACCAAAAAATAATCATAAAAGTAGTCAATATACCTCATTACAAGTTGTCTGGAGCCATATTATAGCTTTGTGTGAAGAACAGACCGAAGGTCACTGATAATATGTCCCTCTGCTCAAGCTCCTAAATATAATTTACAGTATAAATGCAGCTAAATTTCTCCCTTTGTGTTTCACGGATGAACAAAAAATAATATGAGATTGTGAATGAGTAACATAATTGTAATTTATGAGCACACCCATGTTTTATATCAGAATGGTGCTGCTAAAATTGTTACACCACAAAACATATGGCAGCAGCATTTCATAAGAACTTTATTTGTGCTAAACAAACCGTTTAACAATCATCTGCATTCAACCATCTTTAATATGTTTAATGCTTTGATGTTCTCACGAGCTTCTAATTTCAGTTCCTGCAATAGTTTCCAGTGAAGCACAGTTCACTGACCAGAACCAAAACACACTCAAAAGCTCACATTCTCTACAGATGGACATGTGTGATGTAACATTACTTACAGTTTGACCTTTATATACACGTCACACTACATTATAGCATAAATAACATCAGTTGCACACGTTGTAGTTACATTTGATTGCATATATCTGAAAAGTGACCATTCTGCAGACAAGTCGAGTCATTCATACTCATGTTTGAGTATTTGACATGTTTATGAGCGCGTGTTTGGGAATGATTATGTGTGCTTACTGTACAGTATGTGCAGTCAGGAACTGCTTACTGTGCATAATGACAGGGCGGAAATGTACACAGACTGCAGTTAGACTATTTCACTGTGTGTGCATACTGTATATCTCGGTGAAACCGTACACGACTGGGTGGGAGTATATAGATTGTTGATGTGTATGTAGTTTTGTGTTAATTTTGCTACGGCTAGAATCACTATTACTATTGTTCATACTAAGGATTAGAAATTGTTTTTAAATTTTACTTTTGAATGCAATTCATTCCAACACAGTTTGTGCTACAGACATGAATGATACTTCATATATGTCTTCTTGAAGGAAGGTGTGCTGTTACATTTCCAAGCAATAAGACTTTGTCACACTGATGAAAGCAGGTTGTCTTTTTTATCTCCTGCTTTGATCCCAATAAAAGATTTAAAGAGTGCAGACTAATCATTGTAATGTTTGAAAAAATATAGGCAACCTAATTCAGCTGGGAGAGCGCAGTGATTTGCATTGATTAGATGCAATAAGACTTGGAAAAAGTTGGGTGGGAAAATGGTGAAAAATTGGAAAAGTGAGCTTTTAGAGAGCATAAATATCATCAACTTGAGGGTAGGCTTTTGGGTAATTCACACATTGTTCTCATTTATGCAGCAAAGTGTGTGAAAGTTTGTGTATATCTAATTTACTACGAATTCATTAAAATGTATATCTGCATTATATAAGTCGCCATTATATCAGCCATTGCTGGTTGACAACTAGTGTGTTTTCTAGATTAAATATAGGTTTAAATTGGACAACGCCTCAGCAAACTCACAGCTGGATGGACTTCAGCTCAAAGTCTGTATTTGAAACTTTTATTGACATCCAGCTATATATAAACACACACACATGACTTAAGTTTGGGAGTCTCTCAAAATCTCTTTCTCCCTCAGTAAACTACAAAAGCTTCACGTTCACAGGCCTGAACTCCTTCAACCCGCTGAATGTGTGTGTAACTGTAAAACGTGCACCCTTCATCTGTAGAGGGCTATTGGGGGGACTATTTGATGTTGTCTGTCTGATGAGTGGACGAGAGCGAGGCACAGAGTGTGTGAGAGAGAGAGAGGTCTTTGTCCTTTAGTCTCCTCTGAATTATGTCATGTTTGAGTCTCCCAGCAGTAGCACTCAGAGGGGGGCTGACAGGGCTTAATCCGCCTTAAACCCCCCTAGTTACTCTCTCCCCTTTCTTCACTCTCCATCTATAGTTCACTGTGAGGAATGGATCTGTGTGTCTAAGCCAGCATTGTGATATGAAGGAGTGAGTGGGAAATTGGAGACCAGCTGCCCACCTTCTGGTTTTCCCTCTGAGTCACA